GTAACTCTGCAACCAGCAAAGATTTTCCCCATATAGTAAGGATTTTTAATTCAGTTTAGCAAATTAGTACTTCTCACTTACTAATAGGTTCATGTTGGTAGCTTCTGGCTCAACGTCTTCGCGTAGCTTTGTAAACTGCTCCATAATTTCATCACGTTCTGGTTGCGACGGAACCTCAGCAAACGCGTGCACAATAACAGCTAGCACACAAACATTTGTGTGCATTGTATTCACAATCAATGGAGCCCAGAATTTCACACACAAATACGGTTATCAGGAAAGTCAGTTAAATTTAACTCACTGTTTGAGAGTAAGCCTTTCATAATAATATATAAAAGAGTATTGTGATGCATAACATCCCACGCTATTCGTCTATTCGCTGTAAAAAAAGCAGATAGCTTTTCACCACAGGTGTAAATATCACCTCTAAATTCATATTAGCAAAACTACCACGTTACATTTCTTGCTATGTCTCTAAAATGTAGGCAAAATAGTGTTAATAACATTAGCATCTTTAAACATAATAGATAACTAAATTTACGTGTCATCTGCTGAGGGATAAAATCAACTGTATTTTGACTGGAGTGAGTTTGTAAAAGTAAGTCTTAGACATAAATATTAAGACAATTGTTGCAGTCCTTCAGCCAATAGGAAAGGATCAGATTTTCGCGCAACAGGACAAAGGAGATCTGATTCAGTATTAACTTCTATGAGAGGCTGCATGTCTTTACTTGGAAAAAAAGTTTACTTTTTCGGCTGCCTTTGTTGATCATGTGCAAAATAGTCGTCTGAACGTTAATATTTCAGTTAGATATTTAGTAGAAGTAACACAGGTAGCTTTTATCTTGGAGCCTCTTCAGCGGACCTATTTTGTGTAGTGACTTTAAGCAGTTTGGCCAGAGGTTGCAGGCACTTACCTAAATGCCTCAGATACAATATAGCCTTTGTTTTGTACATTGTGTCAGCGTTTTTTAAACTTTAACCGCCTTAGGCCGGCCACTTAAGTCTTATTCAGAGAAGGTCGCTAACATCCTTAAACAATTCTACATGAGCTACACCTTCTGCTGCTGGTTCTTGATTTTCTTTAGGTACCAGGTGAGTTGCGTCAAACGTTATTGGCACCATAGTAACAAGAGTGCAGTGGACTGACAGCCACCTCGCGTTAGTGATGCGTACATGATGGCCCGAGTGGACCAATGACCCACCCCTTTTGTTATTGGCCTATGTCAGCATACTTACTCATGCACTCACAAAGCCACTTGGCTGGTTTGACACTAATAAACGGCCATGTCAACTATCCCCTTTTACTCCACTCTTCTCGCGTAGTTACGAGCTGTTGACAAGGGGGTTGTAGAGTAGCGCTACATCACTAGACACTACGAGAGTTTCATCGATTGGGTCGTTTTGACTAGACACCTCTACGTCGTTCTTCGAATCTGCAATGCTTGCGTTGACTAAAGTTTCTGAGGTGACCAAAGGCTCATTTGCATTCCTTAAATTTCGCTGCAAATAGCTGGACTCATAACCGCCATCACTGCTGGGCAAAGATTTTGAACCTGATTTAAATCAACAGTTGCATCTTGATAATGGTACATATTAAATGCGTCTTAATTTCTGGTTAGGAAGTGTGATTACTATCGGATGGATGCAGTAGGGTGTGATGGGGTCACTTGTATCCCTTGATAACACAACTATTTAACGCTCATCTGTTTTAAATGACCAGACTGGCCTTCAGACAGCGGTAACAAACATTTAATTCTTGAACTAGTGGAATATGGAAGGAAAATTGTGCGTCTGCTGATATAATGACTTACGGGGAGGACAGCGAGGCAAAACTGGATGATAAAGTCGGTATAAATTGTTGGCTTTCCTAAAGTACACCTATTCTTGACGACGTTTTATTCGCTGACACGTTGCGTTGATAGCTATCTCCCCAGGCCTTCACCTGCCAATGTCAGCCTGATTGGATGGTAGCTGTTACCACGTGTAGGCCGTTGCAAGGTTCAGAAGACGGATACGTCTTTAAAAGTACAACGTCGTGGTTTTCAATCCATTGTAATGAATGATATCAAAATTGATCAGGACAACCGTTATCAAATACCATAGTGTCATTCTTCCTAATACATCCAAAATAGCACATTACTTAAAGACACTAACTTTAATATGGCTTTACCATTAATCCTGAATCCTCGTCAATATCAACTTAGACAAATTGTGCATTACATTCTACATTCCAAGGTAATAGTTAATGTTTGGTTAAACAGATCACCATTAAACAGGCTTTCAAGCTATTAAAAGCCAAGAAAATGAATAAAAATTAGAACTTATGCCACTGCACATTGGTGTATTCTCGTACCAAAAGATCCTAATAAATGAATCAACCTCAAAAACATGCTAAGAGAAAAGGTAATGCAGTCTTTCACCTGTATATAATTAAAGCAAATATCATCGCAAACGTCTTCTGTAAAATCGTATGATGTCGAGTCTGTGGGTTGGACAAATTTGGGAATTCGTGGAGATTTGGAGTTGTACAAGAACCAGGTAAAGCCAATGCCTTTATAATCCAGGTAAAATATCCCACCTGGATAATCTGGCTCACAACGTGTCACCCAGGTTTCGGCTACTCGCTCCATTTCTTTGGAATAACTCTGCAACCAGCAAAGATTTCCCCATATAGTAAAGGTTTTTAATTCAGTTTAACACATTTATACTGCTCACTTACTAATAGGTTCATGTTGGTAGCTTCTGGTTCAACGTCTTCGCGTAGCTTTGTTAACTGCTCCATAATTTTATCACGTTCTGGTTGCGACGGAACCTCAGCAAACGCGTGCACAATTGTGTAGTAGAAGCAGGTGGAAGAAAGTGCTAAGGGGAAGGGGCTTACATGACCGGCATTAATCCAGGTTATAGCGACAATAGTTTCTGAAGCAGTTGGCATAATCTAAAGTAATTATAGTTGGTTAGAGAGAGGGAGGGAGGGAGGGAGCTGGAGTGAAGACGACAAGGGCACAATGTAGAAGCATTGACGACCAACGTGGCAGGTGAGATGGACCTAAACCACCAGACAAAGAATGGCTCTACCTTAGTGAATGTAATGCCTACAAATGCAGTCAGGGAAGTGGCAAACAATTGTTGCTCGAAATAAAAACGAAATGCACTTGAATTTGTGTCATGAATGGCGTAAAAATGCGCAAAAATGACTTTAATTAATTAGCAAAATGCAATGACCTTGAGAATGTGAGTGGAAAATAGCTCACGTTATTGACAAGGCCGGCGGCCTTATCAGCGCGCTGTTATGATAAGGCTTTGTGACAGGTATCGGGGGCGCTAGCAACCGAAGTTGATGGACAATCCGACCCCCCCTCCCGATTCGGGCTGAGTATTCGACTTGGAGGATGGGGGGTGCAACCACGGCGGGCTAATCAGTGCGCCACTGCGGTAATGCTTTGTTCACCTTATCGGGCTGCGTACTTGGAGTGACAGGGCGGGGGTGTAACCACGGCGGTCTTATCAGTGTGCCACTGCGGTGAGCCTTTGTGCACCTTGTCGGACCGAGTACAGAGAGTGACAGGGCGGTGTAACCGCGGCGGTCTTATCAGTGCGCCACTGCGGCGAGCCTTTGTGCACCTTGTCGGGCCGAGTACAGAGAGTGACAGGGCGGGGGTGCAACCACGGCGGTCTTATCAGTGCGCCACTGCGGTGAGCACGGACTCCGCCTTGGACGTGGAAAAAGGGGTGGTGTTGGTGGTGACTTTGTGGTGATTGGCGCACGCACGCACGCAGTGGTTCGCAGGCTGTGAGTGGTTGTTCATGAGAAGACGGGAGACTGTAATTGGCTGAGCAATTTGATTGGTCGTAGATTGTGTAGGTTGTGGAGGCGACAGCCGAGGAGGCTTCAGTGTGACGGTGAACGGGCTGGTGTGCGGTCGTGTTGGGTGTGGTCGTCCTGCAGACAGTGGTATGCAGTGCAATTTGTTAGTGTGATTCGGTGGTTTAGGTAGATGAGTTTGCAGTCTTCTTCTTCCACTTCTGCTGCCCGATCGTGGTCTTCGACTGAATTGGACAGTGTGGCGTGCCTGCCTGAAATTGCCATGGTGGTGTGGCTTGTGCCGACAGCAGGTTCGGCGGGACACGACAATGACTTGGTCGAATTGTGGGGCGTGGCGTTGCGTTGCGTTGTAAAGGTGAGTTTTCGGTATGGAGACATAACATAAGTCTTTTCGGTGGATACAGCGCGTCAGCGGGGCGGGGTATCACCACTAGTTGCATGTTAATAAGCTTGGTGGTTGGTGTGTGGCCTAGTGGATTGAGTGTCGTTTTGTTTTTGCAACCACAGACCACCTCCTGGGGACGGTTGAGGCTTGTGAGTGCTCCGGTGCTTCAGCTACAACTGCTCTGGCTCTCATCGCATTGAAGTGGAGTGGATAGGACTGGACTGGACAGGTGGAAGAAGAAGGAGATGGAGAAAGTGGGAGGATGAGACCGCTGCGGCGAGGGTGAGTAGATGGTGCTGATATTTTTGATGCGTCAAACAATCAGATAGAGTAAATGCTGTAGTTGTAGGTGCAGTACGTGACGGCATTTAGTGTGTATTTGTGCGAATGGCCTTAAATCGTGTAAAGAGAGGTGTATGGTTAGTGAAAAAACGGTTTTTTTCGTTAAATGCTGCAAAACCCGTTTTCGAGCTGCTTCAGGTGGACCTTCGACTTATATGCCTGGGGGGGTGAGGGGGGGCGGGCAAGAACAAACCCCTCTTCGAGGGGTTTGTCGGGGGAGGGGAGGGAGGAGGGACTTGGAACGGTCTCTGAATAGGTGTGAGCTTGTTTTGCATGTGTGCAGTTCTGGGTGTCACTCTCTGATTCAACAACTGCGGTGGGAATGGCTATTTTGAGCGTAAAAATGTGGAGCTTGTTAGATCTCGGAGATGGAGCATTTGACATTTGGTATCTTGGTGTAAATGCAGTTATTACTGAGTGTTTGTAAGTGCGCACGGTTTTTCGGCTCATAACTGCGCGCCAACTGCAAAATTTCATGTTGCGGAGCGAGTGTCGAGGTGTAAAAAACGTGTCTACTAATATCTCGCTAGTAGTGAGGGTATCATGGACTACGATCGTGGACATAATGTAGGTAAAGAATAGAAATGAGCAGGAGACAAGACTGCAGGTGCACTTAAAAGTTAATTAATTAATTGTCATTAATTTCTTCCTGCATTGATTTGGAGTTCCTATGATTAGTAACGGCTGAATAACTAGCTTAGAGTTGATTTCACTGGGATACACGGACGATCGCACGTCATTAAGTGGGTTTCAGTCCCAGCAGGAATTACCTACCTCATGTTAAGTGAATCTGCAATGACTTACTTAACTGGACTTGGCACAATAATTGGTCAGATTTTCTTGACTTTAATTCCCACTAGGACAATGGATTGATGATTAATAACGCACCGAGAATTCTTAAAATTCTTTGGTATGTTTTTGACCAAGATTTAGCTTAATTTTCCAATTTTTCGTATTTCGTCGAAAGCCTGGATTATAGTTAATTGAGTTGGAGCAGTTTTCGTTTGTAATTTGTTTAGTTCCATTGTAATTGGCTTGATTTTAAGTAATCATCATCATCATCATCACCACCACTAGGTGTAAATTAGATTATGATGACGACTACTGAATAGCTGTGAGTAGTACTGGGTATCACTGACTGACTCTGCGACTGCGGCGAAAATGGCTTTTTAGAGCCTAACAAAGTAGAGCTTGTTAAATCTTCGATTTTGAGCATTTGACTTGTTTGGAGGAGGGATAAGATAGAGGTGTACATTAAGTTTCTACCGAATGGCTATGAGTAGGCAGTGTTTGTCAGATCAATAACTCCTCGTAAACTGGCAACTAATATGAAATACTTTATGTTATGGGGCGTGTGCCAAGGCGTAAAATCATGCCTACTGATATTCCGCTAGTAGTAAGGATATCGCAGATAATTCGGCCGCAAAATAGGTGGTGTGCAGGAGACATGACATTTGGCGTACTTGAAAATAAATTAATACCAGTTCATGAATAATTAGTTTAGAGCTAATTTTGATGGGATTGACAAACGATCGCATATCATGCATGAATGGGATTTCAATGGCAATAGAAATTACCCCATTTTAAATTGACCTGGAAAGACAACTTGACATGTAACGACAATTAGATATACTCTACCTTAATTCTCACTGATTTATAACGCGCCTTAATTTGATTGAGTGATTTATTAAACTCGTGCAGTTATCATCATCATCATCATCATCATCGATGTGACCAAAAATAGTTGGCAGAAAGTAGCTTTATAGACGTATTTTTGGTAGAAATTCCACTGAGAATTTTTTCTGCGATTGATATACCCGTAAATTCTTTAAATAATTTGGCTTGATTTTGATCAAGAATTAGTTCAATTTGTTTAATTTTTCGTATATGGTCAATAGCCTAGTTGAGCAGAAGTAGTGATCGTTTGCAATTTTTTAATTCCATTTTAATTGTTTTGGTTTTAACTGATCACCTTCATCATCATCATCAGCATCATCACAACTACCACCCCACCACCGCCACCACCCCACCACCGCCACCACCCCACCACCACCACCACCCCACCACCACCACCACCCCACCACCACCACCACCCCACCACCAC